AATTTGGCCAATATGGAGTTCATGGGTCTGAACCTTTGCCTTAAGTTTAATGGTTAAAATTAACCGAGAACTGTTTCCGATCAATTTAAGATATATTCCGACATTTGCCCTAGGTATGCTAGTTTACAAAAATCATAATTTGATTAAGTTTGAGGTGGTAGGTCGAAGGTCGTTTTTCAACATTTTTTAAATCAACCAGAATTACAGTATTCACAACAATATCTAATGTAAATATGATGTATAATAGAGATTTTAAGTCAGTGATGCTTCTTTATTCTGTTATTCTGTTAAACCTGGTTAATTAAATGTCACACAAAGAACATAGCGCCGCTATATTTAAAACTTTTTTTAAGAAATTCTCGTTTCGGTTTAGGAATTGTTAGATCAGTTGCTGTGTTTCGAAGATGATAATTAGTTTGATCTATTTCTCTTCTCACGAATGACCCCGGAGACCTGGCGCAGTGTGGTCGTTAAGTATTTTATACATTAATACTGACTTGGCACCAGACCGCCTATTTTCAAGTGTATCCCAAGAAAGCATGTTGAGAAGATCAGCTGAGCGAGTATCATAATTAGCACCCGTTAGGACTCTTGCTGCACGAGACTGAAATCTTTGCAACTTGTCTCTTAGCAACTTACCACAAGTGTCCCAAAGGGGGGAACAATAATCAAAGTAGGGCTGCACAAGACTTTTATAAATCGATTCTAAGGTATGCATTGGAACAAAGGGCTTTATACGTTTCATAGCGCCAATAGCAGCGCTCGCCTTCTTGCATATCATTTCAATGTGACTATCCCAATTAAGGGTTTCATCTAGTTTTACTCCTAGGCACATTTGTGTAGCAATTCGTGATATGGGTTTTGCATTAGCCACAACGGGTTCCTCACACATTATATTATTAAGATTATACGGGGAGCCAATAAACATTTTACATTTTGATGGATGCATCTGCAGCCTATTTTCTTTAAGCCAGTTACAGACATGGGCAAGATCTGAATTTAAATTTACAACAAGTTCATTTGCATCGTAGGAAGATGAAAAGATTTGAGTATCATCCGCGTACATGCATGGATTAGTTGATTTCAAACAATCGGGCAAATCATTAATATATAATAGGAACAGCAGTGGTCCCAGTATAGATCCCTGGGGCACTCCACAGGTGATAATTTTATTACTAGATAATTCTCCATTAACATTACATTGCTGTTCTCTATTTGTTAAATATGACTCAAACCATTTTAATTCTACGCCAAAAATTCCAAATTGCTCATTCATTTTATTTAACAAAATGCGATGGTTTATAATATAGAGTCAAATGCCTTTTTGATATCTATGAACACAACCCCATTTAACTTTCCATTGTCCATATTTTCTAGCCACTCATCACACATTTGGATGAGGGCAGTTACAGTTGAATGCTTTGGACGAAATCCAGATTGAAACTTTGACAGAAGAGAGCTTTCAGACAAGTATCTATATACTTGACGGAAAACTTCCTTCTCAAAGGCTTTACTCACCACCGGTAAAATTGAAATAGGCCGATAGTTCTCACATTGTCTTTTATCCCCGGATTTAAATATTGGCGTAACACGAGCACGCTTCCATTCATCTATATATACGCCTGTTGCAAGCGACAGATTGAAGATGAATGTCAACGAGGGTGCAATTATGTTTGCAGATAATTTTAGAATTTTAGCAGGAATTTTATCAAGACCTGTTGCTTTACATGCTTTTAGGCCTCTTAGGGTCGAGGCAACACTATCAACGGATATTGGAGATACTTTAAAAAAAGTATCTGAGGATTGATTAATATTATAGTTTATGGGCTGATTATCAACATTACTACAGGACTCGTCTACATATTCTGCTGCTAGCCTCGACCCAATACTAATGAAATAGTCATTAAATGCATCTGCAATAGATTTAGGATCCGAAACTAACGTGCTGTCAACCAGCAGCTCATTCACATTGTTGGATTTGTTATTCTTTCCCAATAATGAATTAATTAATTTCCAAGTCTTTTTAGGGTCATTCATTACAGAGCAATCAGTGATTTTATCATGAAAATATTTTGATTTTACATTTCGCATTTCAACATTCACTTTATTCCGCAGAAATTGAAAACTTTCCCAATGTGGCTGTGAGGAATGTTTTATTGCATATTTTTTATGATAGTCTCTGTTTCTCATCATACATTTAATTTCCGGGGTAATCCATGGGACCGAGTTCCCCTTTACTCGCTTATGTCGAATCGGCGCATGTATATTTAATATCTCATTAAAGAAAGATTTCCATACCCTCCAGCATTCGTTGGGATTATTATATTGATTAATTACATGCCAAGGCATTCTGGCTAAATCCCCAATAAAATATTCAGCATTAAAATGTTTATAATCCCTAACTTCTTTCACATTAGGTTTAAGTTTTGGAAGGGTGAACTTCCTGACCACATAAATCAAACTATGGTCAGACATCCCCAGATCTATTACACCAGACGTCGAAATGTTTTCTTTAGCATTAGTTAAGACCAAATCAATCAAGGTCGCCGAGGTGTTGGTCTCTCTTGTAGGTTTATTAATTAATTGGTCAAGTTGATAAAGAGAACACAAAAAGTTTAATTGTCGTGTATGGGCATTTGGTGAGGTTTTCATAACATCGCAGTTAATATCACCAATTATAATCAATTTACAGGGCGCATATTTCTCATGGAATAGGGTAAACGTTAAAATGGGCAAGTCTATTAAAGTTTATTTATTTTAAAACAGTTTTTAATAAATTAATTATTATAAATTCCGAATCTCAAATTCTTGAAAGACATAATATCATAAGACGTTAATATACATAGAAATTGATATGCGGTGAATATAGCCAGTATAAATACAAATTTTAGAAACTTTAAACCATTCCTTTTCTGATGCAGTTTGTCTGTTCAAGGAGAAACATTTAAACATCTTATAAACGGCAAGCTCGGCGTATTCAATCATTTCAATTTCAGAAAATTTGTATTATTGTACTATGAAATTATATATTACCAAAATAAAATATAATATGCAGGAATCCCGAGTCTGCAGTCTGCACTTCCCGCGATTAAGCGGTTGGGCTTTTGGAGCATGCTCACAACAACCGATCGATCCCCAGAATTAGGGGTTCCGGTTGTCTATTTCCCCAGAGCCAATACCATCCTAGCCCGCGCACAGGCATTGCTCTGGATACGAGATTGGTTCATGATCAAAGAGAAATATATTCCTGCGCGACACACAAGTATATAATACCATCAGAATACAAGTGGATTAACAGGAACGAAACACGAGTGAACGCAGATGGAATACAAATGAATACGAATCCACTACGAGTGAACACGAATGGGTGGCAGGTGAACACGAATGTAACACGTGGGTGAACACGGATGGAATACTAATGAACGCAAATGAAAGACGAGTATATAGAACGACTAAAAATATCATTCTTTAAATGTTGGTTACGTCATCTATATAGGTTTGGTTATCTCCTAAAAAAGGGAACAAGTCGTAACAACACTACTTATTGAACTTAAAGGCTATAATTATTTTTCGCGGTTGAACATTGACACATAATTAACTTGCCTGCAATTTTGAGTCTTCGCCTACTGACTGCGGAATGGTTTGACATCAAGCTCGCAATGCGAATTGCAGTCGCAATGCAAATTACAGTCAAGTTTGCATGTGCCGATGTTTCCCTCGGTATTACTGATACTATTCAAAATGTGGAAAATCCAAGGTTTCTTCACTGCATGGAAACGAGTAAATTTTCAAGAAAAAAAGCATTTCAGATTGAAGTAAAAGAAGCAACGCGCGGTACATATATAAGCGTTGTTATATTATTATCGTATATAGGCTGAATGTTTTGGTATATTTTATACCTTGGTTTCAAACTATATAATAATTTCGATTCTTTAAATGTTTAATTTACATTTTATCTAATGAATTTATTTGATAAAGAAAGTTACTAAAATTATTATTAAAAACAATATCTTTACAATTATTGTGGAATTAGACTAACATCATCCTAGAAACCTACATGTATAACAAGCTGCATGCATTAACCGTGTTTATTATGTTTTATTATATAAATTATAATGCTTTATAGAGATTTAAAAAACTCATTAATAATTCAGGAGCAAAACACAAAGAAAAATCATAAGCGTATCGTGGTTTTATATGTGATATAAAATCATGTTAATTTACATAAACTCTAGCTTTGATTTTCTCGGTTTAGACAAAGTTTATTTTAAAAATTACTTCGCCAATGAACTTGTATAAGATGAGTCGTTTTTTAAGCCATTTATAAAGCACTTGTAGTCGTGTTTTATCACATATAAAACACTCCGTTACGCGTCGTGTTTTAATAATTAATAATAATAAATAATAATAATGATAATAATAATAATAAACACTCCGCTACGCGTCGTGTTTTATATGTGATAAAACACTCCTACGCGTGCTTTAAATAGTACTTCGAGCACTGATAAAAGTGACAATCTCACATGTGAGATTATTATAAGTAATAGCATAAAAAGAGGCGAATTAGCTATTAAAACGTCTCGCCCGATGAGGGTCGTTTAGTAAAATTCCCTTGGGCGCCGTCCAATGACCCGAATCGAGCGGCGCCCAAGGTAATTTTACTAAACGACCCCCAACGGGTGGAACGTTTTCAATAGCTAATTCGCCTCTTTTTATGCTATTACCTTATAATATCATGATTGCGGGTATTCCCGTTATTCTCGCAGGGCCATTAAAAACCAACTAACAATAAATAATAGTGTAAATTAAATGGTATAATTGTTTTCCATGTCTTTGTTTAGTTTTGGCGATTTCAGATATCTTCATTTATATTCATTTTTTCTAATCGTACCCGCTTTGACGTTGTTTCGGGTAGGATTAGAACTAATTCTACCTGACATGACGTAAAAGCAGGTAGGATTAGAAAAAATGAATATAATGAGGTGTATTAGTTTTTAATTGCCCTGCGAGAACAAAGGGAATGCCTGCAATCATGATATTATTCATGATGATAATCTCACATGTGAAAATTATCGCTTTTCAATTATCGCTTTTCTGTAAAAATTATCGCTTTTCAAAGACTGTCCTTTATATAATAAACAGAAAAATACATGGGTGCTTTGAAATAACAGTACAGCTGTGTTTTTTAACAACGGGGGTGCAGGGGTTGGGGAATTCCCCCTTCCCCTCTACACCACGGTTTCCTACGACATTACTAAATACTCGCGAGAAAAGTAGCAAGCCGTATTACTTTGTATGTACATTGATCATACTGTCCGAAAATTCTGCCGTGATCGAACTAGTTTAGGACTGCATGATCAAAACTATTTCACTTTATTTTAGCCATGATATTTAAATATGTCATTTCAGAATCTCCAATTGACATTTCAAGCTCTCGAAGACAGCTCCATGGATAGAACTGATGGGACTGGAAATTCAATCTAAATCCTCATTATCTGATGTGCTCTACACATTTTTAAATTAGAGTTTACTTACGTATACGACGAATTAAATTATACAATGATAAATTAAATTAACAAAGTTTAATTAAAGTTTAAGAAAACCATTTCACAGCAGGTTTTTGAACAGCACACTTTGCATTCAAAACCTAAAAAATATTTAATATGTTGTTGGAAAAATTATATAATTATATTTTATTTGACATTAGAGGTTTATTTGAAGCATAGTTTAAATCTTTATTTAAAAAAAAAAATTCAAATTTTCAAACAGAGATTTTCATTAGGTTAGGGTTAGATTAATTAAGTTAGATTAGGGTTAGATAGGGTTAGGGGTTAGTGCTATAGGGTTAGGCGCAGGGGCGTAGGAACCGGGGGGGGGGAAGTGGGCCAAGGCCCCCAAGTTTTTAGAAGACACAAAAAGTGCCCCTTTTCCGGTGGCAAAGTGCCCTTTGCCTTTTGTAAAAAATGTTGTTCAGATTGCATTTTTGACTCACGGATGTTGCAAAGCAATATCTGTGAGTCTTTGCATGTGGTTACTTGAGTGTGGGGCAGTTAAACAATGAAATGACCAGCCTGCTTGGCGCGCACTCTCTGGCTGAGAATTGGGCCCTTCAGAACCAGAAATCGGACTGGAGCACGACAAAATTTGCACAGTGCTCGTTTGCAAAACAACTGCAAACTGCTTTAATTCTTTCTGTCAGTTTCATTTGATCTCATCCGTGAGTCTGCCTCAACGGCCTTTGATTTATGATTGTATTTATTTTTCCTTCCCTACCTCCCTCCCCCGTCGCCAACATTTCCGGGAAAATTTTTTTAGGTGTCCTTTTCATTCCAAAAGTGCCCCTCAAAACCGGTGCCCCCCAACTTTTTGATGCTTCCTACGCCCCTAACCGTTAGGGGGTAGTTGCCGCGAATTTATCATATTGATAAATTCGGACGTGTTTAACAATTTACTCATATAGTAAATTCAAAGGTAGAGCTCATGCTGCAAATACCGCCATTAATCTTAGTTTTCTCTATTTTTAAATATGATAATTTGTAGCAAAGGAAAATAATACATTTTTCGTTAGTTTCATTGCATAGAAGATACGAAATTTAAATTGTATCGCAGTATTTGCCGATAAATCCGTAATCGCTACAGAAAAACAGAACAAATTATAGTAAATCATAACAAACTACAGAAGCCAAAGTGGGACACATTTTGTATTTTCACTGTAACACTATAGTTAGAAAAGTCTACAAACAGAAAACTATGAACAGAAAATGCTTGGAATAAAGACTGCAAAGGGTGTGTGGAAATGCAGCGCTTATACGAGGGCGGTTTGTCCAATCGAACTAAGGGGCATCATATCGGGGTTTGCCCGAATGACTGTTAGTCGGCATAACAAGTAGCCGTTATTCTACCATCTTGGACAAAATATCTGTGATACTACCAATCATTTGACAAACTTTGGTAATATTGTCGCAAATTTACAAAAAGCTCCCCCCCCTTACCGCATCACTTAATGTTGATTGTATTCCCAGAATACGATAAATTAAAGCTATTGTAACATACGTGCATGGAGCCCATTTCTTAGAGACAATGTAAATATCTCCTTACGAGAATAATTCATTCAAAATACTGGGTGCTTTATTCAATTACTAAGCTTGAAACTTGTGCTCCCATTAAGCTTTCGCGCTTAGAATTTAAGGTTTAGAGTTTAAGATTCGCAAAGGACAACCTTTTTCGCATTGGCTGTACATGCATTTTTTAGTTTAGATGGTAAAATCATACGTTTCTACAAAACGGTAAAGCCTTTGTTACCTGCACTATGTATTAGAAGTGGCCGAATTAACGCCATAGCCCATTTTCCGACCAACTGCGATTCGAATCTGCAGAGAAATGAAAATTATTGTTTGGAAAATATAAAATTACACATAAAACTATACCTTAATTAAAGGATTTTGTGAGAAATTTAAATACGTGTGTAGGTTAACCTTTATTTTTATCATAAGCGGCACGATCTACATGGTTTATTTAGGTGGTTTCCGTTCATTTTAATAATTTGCGACAGACTAGAATTAATTAATGCTGTAAGAATGAGCCTAATTTGGAGTCTAATGCATGTGAACGTCCTGCAATCCACTACACGGCATAAAAATACTTCATGGCAGTTCCAATCATATCGTGGAATGGATTTCACACTGACAGAATTCTTAATTCTCCGTCATGTGACAGTGGTGTGTGATACTCCGTCATGTGACAGTGGTCTGTATAATTCCCCCCTTGTTACCTTATTTGACTATTGTCGAAGTTACCCCCCCCCCCCACCCTCCAAAGCGTGAAGTCTTTTTTATTTGACTCATTAAAAGGATCTTCTGAAATCATCCAAAATGATCATAAGAAACTATGAAATTGGAATTCTTCATAAACAAATTATTTATTTCACTCATTAATTCCCCTTCGTGTTATTTAACGATGTTTACGATGGATGGCAACTACTAAATGTTTTTTCGGACCAGAGAACTTTACTACAATTCGTGACAAAACACTTTGGACAAAATATAAAATAGGCTGTAAGTTTACAACATATTCGACCCCCCGTTCCCTCAGATCCTTTCAATGATGTGTGTGTGTAGAGGTTGCAGTTATTAGACCGAAAGGTACTTGGAATTGTGCAGATATTTACACAGTATATATCACTATCCAAAAGCTATAAATTTAATTTGTTGCTAGTTCTGAGTATCTATTCTGCATTAGTATATCTATAAAATAGAGCCTGATAAACACCGTAATTAACCTGGTCGCCCCCTTCCCAGAATAGGTATATTTTGAGTAGCCAATGAAAATGTTTTTGGGGAAATTTGACATAATAACAATTTCACACACTAACAGCAATAATGTAATTGTAGTTTAATTAAACTATTAATTTTTCATGATCAACAGTAAATTATAATTCGTATTAACCAATTTAATAAAAAAGACTAGCCAGGTGAACAGCCGGAGTTTGTCTCTCTCACATGCGTCCAGACAGGGATTTGTGTCAGGCCCTGCCATCCACAGAAAGTAGAAAACCACAGACAGCAAAAAGATGAGATAAATGATTCGAGGGATTAATAATAAAGGCATCGGTGTTTATGAATGTAACTGATCATAAGTCTGTATAAAAAAAGAACCCACCTCTGCATTGCAAACTCCATAAATAAGAAAGATAAGAAATCCCTATAGAAAGTTAAAAAATTACTTCTTCATTTAAAATATATTTTAGTAAATCAGATATTACATATCATTTTACAATACTTTATCCTAGTATATATATATATATATATATAAAATAGTTTGTGTAGGGTTATAAAAACCAATGATAGAGTGCTCAATGGATAACCAGAGCATAATAGAAAAGACACAAAAACTTAGCAAGCTTTGTTTGGCATATTTATTACTATACAGTTTCGTACCACGTAAATAACGTGGCACTCTTCAGATAAAATAGCCTATGTTTGACCTA